CTGAAATTTTCTGGGATCCTTTTCTTCGCTTCACTGCCTTTAGCAGAATCTCCTTCATGGTGACCTTCGTGTTGTCCACCTGGATAAGGGAGAATCCATGAGCAGCATTTCTACAGGAAAAGACAAGTGAGGGAGTTATCACTACAGCCTTCACTACATCTGGAAAGCTTCAACGCAACAGCACAGGAAAAGAGTGTCAGTAATCATTTTGGAGAAATCTGCCTGGCAGTAGTGGCACACACCTTCAATCCTAGGACTTGGAGGTAGAGGAAGGCGGATCTCTGAATTCAAGGCCAGCCTGGTCTACAGAGACAGACTAGCCAGGACTATACATAGAAACTCTCTGAAAAACGAAACGAAACGAAACCAAACCAAATCCTACTACTTCTCAGGTGTCTGTTGAGGGCATTCCAACTGAAACACAGTCAGAGATAGTGCATGCTTTTCTAATTGATTACAGACTGAACCTAACTGGTCTTCTGGGGGGTCAGAAGGAGCAAAATTCCCAGTATTGGCTTGGGATCCAAATCCTGCAGCAAGGAATGACAACTGATAGGACCTGACTTATGTCAGTAGATGTCACTACAGGCAGATACGATTATTACAATAAGCCCCTAGTTAGGAAAAGGCTCCTAACTGTGTAGCATCAGCCTGTCCATCCATCCTTTGTTGTTATTATTTTGGTTTGTTTTGAGACAGATTCTCACTATATAAAACCAGGTTGGCCTCAAACTAACAGAGCTCCACCTATCTCTGCCTCCTAAATGCTGGTATTAAAGATGTCCCCCACCATGCCTGGCCCATACAGCTTTTAATATAAATCTGTGTATACATCACTATAAATGGTTTATTTGTTTAGTCCTAGAAAAATCAAACTAAATATTAGTTTAAGCAAAAATAAGTGAAAGACAAAATGCTAAACTACTTGCAAGCTTCTAGTCAAATTAAGGTGTAGAAGGTTCATCTAAATTGAAAAAGAAAAATAAAACAGCAAAGAAACAAAAGAATAAGAATGCTAAGTAAACAAACAAACAAACAAAAAATAGTATTCCATCACCTATGTGAGACGTAACTTCACAAGGACTGTTAATTGCAGTGGCAAGTGAAATAAACACTACCCCCTTACACTTGGGCACTGGAGCAAATGGACTAATTCTAAGCAGCTTGTGTAAAAAATCAGGACTGAAGTTTCCAACTACAGAACATGAGAATTGCTACAAGGAGTTTGGTCACATTCCCATTTCCCCATAAGAATCTCAAAGGGAAACACGGCCAAAAAACATGGCAGAGCTTAATACTGACAAGAAATCTGAAAGAAAAGCCAAGCCCGGGAAAACCATCCATCCAATGGTAGATCAGTCTAGGAAAGGCCTGAAGCCCAGGTTAGACCCATCCAGATGGGGCTATGGGCTGATCTCAAAGCCAAGAACCCAATTTGTTTCCCTAAGCCAGAGAGCCCTCTCCACAGTGCTCGTCTCCATACAGTGTGCTCTTTAATCCTTGATGCTGCATTTGTTACAAAGCACAAAGCTGATGCTGCTCCGGCCGGCAGAACCATCCACTTAACTTGTGAAGTTCTTGCTTTCCAACAGCAGGCCTGAGAACTGTCAAGCTAATTTTACTCAACACTCTGTTACTGAATCATGTCTGCGCCCCAGCCATTCTTTACCTCAGAAGCTGGACCCCATCCCAGAACAATCTTTAAAAGTTTATTTTACTGATCAAAGCAAAATAAGAAATAGCTCTTTTTAAAAAACTATTTTGGGAGAGATGCTGTAAGTGATATTTTGGCAAGAATACTGATACGTAAAGAGCCTTGTGCATTTAAAAACTTGCGGGTGTTTGCTCTGGCACTAGGCCAGAGTGTATTTGGAACAAATGCCAATCAACCCCACTCAGATCTGCCTTTCCCAGCTTTCTCCTCAGAAGTCAGTATGTCCTCCATCTGTGACAGTATGTTGGGCGATGGATGAGTAGGGCCAAAAGGAAACCTAAGTTCTTGGGGATTTGCAAACTAGCACTGGCCCAGGCCTCATAAACTCTCACCCACCTGGGAGCGACCTGAACAATGGCAGAGTCTGCCTGCTTATAAACTGCTGTACTGGCCCTGTTCTGCGGCCAGACGGCAGCACCGTTCCAAGGCAGCACCCAACTTTTCGGTAAAAGGCAAAGTGAAAAGCTTACCAGGCAGTTTCGTATCTGGACTAACTTTCCTAAATTCAAAGTGTCCTTTTAAAAGGATGGAAGCAGAGGAAAACCCCCAGTCTGTATTTTTCTGTCATTTTACCAAAACATACCGGGTGCCAAGGTTAAAGCAAGCAGAGGAAATCCCTGGCACTCCCCATCCACAGGCCTTCCTGATAAATCGTGTGGCGGAGGAATAAAGGATTACCTTCTGTATTTTTTCATTACACTTTTCTTTTGTTACAGAATACATAAATCCATTGTGGCACAATGTAATATGTATCACCACGCTACACCTGCGGACGCTTCCGCGCGGCTGCCATGTCTGTGCAGTCAGGAATGATAAGTGAACCACCCGTGAATGTTAACGATAGTGATCATTCTGAGGTAACTCGGCTCTCCATCTTCCTTTACAGCCTCCAAGCTGAAGCCAGGGTAGCAAGGTTCACAGGAGGAAAATGAAAACAACAGTGAAGAAAAGAGGAAAAGCAGCACTTGGACTGTGCATCCACGAGTGTGTGCTCTCTTACTCTGGGGCTCCATTTACATAAAGCGTGCACATTAACAGGAGAAGGTGGCTCTGCCCAAGGACCACACTCAACTCATCTAGTCAGTTTCCTCCTGGCAGGTCCGCAGTCCCCTCTTTACTTCCAGACAAATGGAAAGCTTGGCTCTTACTTGGGTGTGCAGCCCTAGAGGGTTCTGAGTGACATACACAGCATTCTGAAGGCAGAGTGCAGGAGCAAGTGGTCTTGGCTCCAGCTAGGCAGGACTGCTAAGTTGGGCTCCCATTTAATAAACAGAAATGGAGATCCGCTACTACAGTTCTCAGCTTGACTTCCAAACAGTTTGGATTTTATGCCTCATTTCTTTACATTCAGTGTTTTTTATGGGCTTTCTAAAATACCTCCCGCAATACATCTTTTAAAACTGCTCTTACTGCACAGAGGGCATCAGATTTGAGGCTGCGAAGACAATGGACTCATGGGCAAAGCATGCTGACAGCCCTGCCTCCCTCCCCTGGACTGGGACTTCTTTGGGGAATCTGGCCAGGATGGACAAGTAGGTCACACACAGACCCAGTTTCTTGGCTCAGGACAGGGCATCCCCGGACACTGAGCAGAGACAGCCGCTCTCCTGCACCTCTGTGGGCTCCCTGTGTAGGTACAAGATGAAACTCCATATCAGAGAGTTGACTAAATGCTGCCTGAGGAGTTTCAGTCAATTCAAAGCTGGGTCCTGTCAAGTCTGTTAAGCACTGAAGAACGCATGGACATTTAAAAAGAGATCACTCACTCAAGGAGCTCAGTTCTGTGCCTGTGAAAAGAGGCTTCTGGGGGAGGGGAAGAAGCAATGAAGCCCAGACTGGCATTGAACTTGAGACCTTCCTACTTCAACCTCTCAAGTGCTAGGATTATAAAGTTATGTGACTGCTTCAGATTTACTACAGTATTCTGAGACTAGCATTAGTCCTGGACAATGAGTGCTTTTCTAAGAGGTAAACCCAATTTAACAGAGACCCTCAGGAAATAGGCCACAGGTCCTCATCCAAAAGCAAATTCTGTACAGAGTCAGGGCAGAAAACCAACAGAGAAGGCAGTTCACTCGGAAGAAACACACACAGGCCGCAAGTGCAATGCCCTGTGAGCAAAAGGCTGTGATATATGAGCACTTCAGTTTCCCCTGAGATGAAATCCCTTCACTTGAGAACTGTCACAAGGGTCAAATACACAATGCATGCTAGGCACCCGGCACTGAGGGCAGCAAACAGGCAGAGGTGTTTCCTATTCTGGCTCTCTGTGTCTGCCATGACCCAAGTCATCACCCCAAAAGAAGAGGCCTCATACAGTCTCTCTCTGCTCTGGCTCCTACAAAGCCTGTTTCCTGGGAGGGAGGATGGATGGATAGAATGGATTTCAACACCTACAGCAGCACAGGGGCATTAAATTGTGTGATTAGCTGCTTGGTGGCAGCATTTGGGGCAGTCAGTAAGTAGCCTTTGATCCAGGCATCAAAACCTCTCTGAAGGACAGCATTCTGGGCTCAATGTTGAAAGCTTTCCTTTGTCAGCGCAAAACTCTGAAGCAGCTTATCTCAGTGATTTTCGGGGAGGGGGGCTGTCAGGCAATAGAAAAATCAGTCATACTGAGGGGAAATCCGGTGAGAATTAAAGAGGTCTTACACTTGTATAATAGACATTGTTTACCACTTATCAATCCTCAAAATAACAACAGCCACCACTGTTTACAGAACACTTACTACGTGACCAGTATTAGACCTATATTCATGCATTCAATCCTAAAAGAGCACACATGCCATTTTCTAGAAACAAGGCTGGTGGCATCAGGAGTCTCCTGAGGCAGAACTCACACTCACCCTATTTCGGACCAAGAGGTCAACAATATGGTCCCTAACATATGTATACAGTTTGTGGGAGGGAAGGCCAAAGTAGGTAACGGACAGCTGCTCTCTATGTACACATGGGATACAGCACACCTAACGAGCCACACTCAGGAGTCAGAGGAGCTTCCTCAGGAGAGATGTCTCAGCGTCACACCACGCCAGGGAGAGGGAGCAAGAACACTAAGGCGGCGCACACCCAGCAGTAGGATACAATGGCTGGTTTGAGGTCAAGCTCTGCCTTTGTTGAGTAAGCCATATAGCTACTCTGGCTCCATTTCTGCACAAGCAAAATGGGATGATAATTCTTGAAAGTGTTTGTGATAGCATCTGCCAAATAATACTTAATAAGCAGTAATTAACATTAGCTATCGGCTGGTCTTTACTAAAAATGATATATAATGTTCAGGCATGGTAACATACACCTGGGGCTAAGGATCTTCAAGTTTCAGGTCAACCTGGGCTGCACAGTAAGATCTTGCCTCAAAAAACAGCCAAACAAAGGAGTGATATATAACAAGAACAG